AAAACAAGCATCCAAAGACTCCCCGGGCGCGCATCCCTCTCCACTCGGAAGCGTAGGTTCGCCAACGAAACCTCCTCGCATCGGCGGCCGAGCAAGCCCTAGATCGTTCTCGATGGAAAGGGGCGTGGTGATGCAGGGATGCGTCATCCGTCGCGGACGGCCCTCGTACCGTCTCGCCCTATCCCCAGCCTTCGCTGCGTATCGCGCCGACGAAATGATGAGAACTTTCTGGAATCTCGCGCGGAAGGTATTTAATCGAGCAGCCGATATGGGAGATCAGGAGAAGAAGGAAGTTAGCGCCAGAGTGTGTAGGGTATCCCGCCGCGTCTGTCGGTGAAGGTTTTGTCCTTAGCGACAAAGCAAGAGAAGAAGGAAGTATGCGCCAGAGTGCGTAGGCTGTACCGCCTTGTGGGCGAAGCCTTTTGTCTTCCGTGAAAAAGGAGGGGAAGAAGAGGATTTCCACCTGAGGGGTAAAGACTCGAGCTACAGGCTAGAGTGTGTGTCTACCACTATCGAGCGAAGACGCGTGGCAACAGCTGCGTGTGTGAAGCCGACGTGTTTCCGGCGAAGAAGTTTGAAGCCTGGAGAGCGGCCGGTTGAAGACGCGAGGTTTCCTGGAAAAGAAACTTCGGGGGCAGCGGAACGACAACAACGCTGAACTTTGAGTGAGTTATTCTCGGAAGAGTATCATCCAAACTTTTGTTCCAAGGACTTTGGACTTAATAACTTTCCTAACTCTTTAGCCTTTAAGTGTCTTGGTTGTTCGATGCATGCGACTGCATTGTAGTGCGTATTGTTGTCTTTGTCCGTTGTTTCGAGTGTGGCTGATTGTACTGTGTAGCGCATTGTTTGATTGGTGACACATTGTATTCAACTATTGTCGGGTGTGCATACTTGTGTATCGTTTTGATCTGCCATAACTGAGAATATAATTTTGTTTTGTTTATCAACTCTCTGCTCTGACTTGTTATTTTGGCCACAGCCGGCATCCGCTGGCGCGCCATTTAGGACCATCTCTAAGTTGTCCACGCTTTTGTGGTGCGGTTCGGGGGGCCGATACTTTGCCCCTTGGAATTAGCCCGGCGATAGCCTCCCTAATTACGGGAACTGTGACACCTAGTACTTAGCGTTGTCCCTGCTGCGCGGGGTCAAATGTTAAAGTTGTGATGGTTTTCAAACATATTACATCATATTTATGACTTCCGCTGTCAGAAACATAAAGTAGCTTCAGGACAAAGCACAAATATTCACCATCCCATTAGGTCGCACTTGTGTCACAGCCATGCAAGGACTCTAGCCATGCGCAATCAACTGCACTCGGATGCGGAGGTTTCATCAACGTGACGGAAATGTGAATATAAAGAGAATACACACATAAGCTTTTAGCAACGTCAAAGTTGCGATAATTTTACGAAAAACAAGGCCTTTTGGAAGGTACCGGCCGGTAGTACAGGAGATGTGAGCAGAGCGTCATCGATTGCAGCTGTAACTGCACGTGTCATTGCTCTAACAACTTCACTTCGCTGGTCGAAGTCAAGCGTGTTGGTATCAAGCACTCAATTGCATCCTCAGTGATTGCATCCTCATTGCTACATGCAATGCACAAGAAAATGATGCTTTTATTTTAACGTTGCTTAATGATTTATAACAACTATTACAATAAAACTTAGTTACAAGCGTGAAAAATCACTGACGCGCAAGGAGACATGTTGTGCAACACGCTCATTGTAAGTTAGCAGCTGATTATTCATCGTCTCTGTCACTCTCAGTGTGTTCACAACCTTCTACGTTCAGCCACACTTTCGACAGTACTACTGAAGCAATCTGAGAAATTCCGTCCGCCGAATGACTTCAACAACACCACCAGCACCGTGTCACCACATTTATCTCGGCTCTGAGAAAATTTCTCCCTTTTTGCTTTGAAACCCCTCATCAAGCAAGCCACTTGCTGTGTGCTGCCATCTACGAAAAAAAACGTTATAAAAAGAAATTTTCAGTTATAGAAACGCTAATTCCTTCGCGCGAGTTTCTGCATATACATTTATGTGAATCTTGCACCACAAAAACACTCACACATGCTGTATGCAAGTAGCACAAGGTAAGCTTCAACTGAAAAGGTGAGAAGATCACATCCAATTAACTCTACGAAGGCACAGAAAGTCTCGCAAAGCTGATAAGTGTACTCTGCGGTCTATCATTGAAATGGCGAGTTGCCACGTGCTTTTATAAAAACTCTGCGTATCGCAATAACGAAGAAGGTTTGTCGTGTCATGGACGGTCAAGTTTGTTCAGGAAGCGTTCAGGAAGGTTTGATGCAGGAAACGTGCGAAATGGCAGTGTTAATTTCTTGCAAACATCGCGTTACCACTAAAGCTAGCACAGCCCAGAAAAGCAGCAACATCTGCCTTCTGACTATTCTGGAGAGGACACTCCCGAATTCTACTTGGTGGCGTGGCAGTCTATGCGTATTGTGAATAGTGTGTGCTGTGGAATAGATGAAGTATCAAAAGGCAGGGCAGTGGTATTGCCTGAAGTTTCCGCAATGCAACAAATTCTGGTCGGTTAAGTCAATTGGGTGGTTGTGGGTAGTATAATAGACCTAGGTGCATAAATCACAAAGGCAGAAGTGAAAGTGGTCCTAACAGACATGAGACGAACCACAGCATCCGGAGGGGACGACATCCATTATGCACTACTACGCAACCAAGACGATTATGTCATTCTTCAACTGACTGAGCGACTGACTGACTGACTGACTGACTAACTGACTGAGTGACTGACTGACTGACTGACTGACTGACTGATTGACTGACTGACTGACTGACTGGGTTGCTGGCTGGCTGGCTGACTGACTGACCGACTGGCCGACCAACCGACCGACAAAATGACTGGCTGGCTGGCTGGCTAAAACGCTCAACAATGATAGAATTTGAATATCCCTCTAATTTTCAGACCTTTCAAATTTTTGTCTTTTTAAAAGGTCAGATCATTACCCCTTACTTTACACGAACTTTGCACATTTTTTTATGGGTTTACGAGATGACCTCGGGGCTCTCTTGCCACTGTATTCCTACTTTTTAACATTCCATTTTATTACTGCACAGTTTCACCGCTCAATCTCACGGAGTTACCACACAAGGCATACCACTATAGCCAAAAGGAGGATGTGCCGAAGACGAAGTACGGTTCAAACGAAGATGAAAAATTTTTGTTCACTGTGGCTTTCTTTTTCAAGCTTTTGCGTGCGGATCGTGTGCAGGCATGTTACACAACGACGCGAACGCACCTATGCCATTACCATGTTGTCTGAAACATGTGCCTGAGTGAGAACTTTATTATGGAGCTTTTTTTATGGAGAGGAGGGTATTCTCCTTTCTGGTCTGTTGAACGAGAGTACGAAAGCCGACGTCACAGCCTCAGCAGTACATTTCTTGAGGAGGGGCACGCCCACTAACAGCAGCCCATAGAGGACCATGGATAGTCTTCTCTGGGCTCAAGGCGTTCTTCAGAACGTAGAAAGGTGTATAGTCCAGTAGCGCCTGAAGCAGGACGAGACCAAGGCCGTGCTAGGTCAGCCAAGTGGCTCCACCGAGAACGATGCTGAAGCTGCATCTTCTTGGTGATGTATCGGCCACCTAGATCCACGTGAACTAACACAGATTTGAAGGTATTGTAGGCAACTGACTTAAACGTGGCGACAATATAACAGTCATGCTACTGCAATGAGAGTATGGAACGCATTTTCGATGCAAGTGTAAAGTAATAAAAGCGGGCATTCGAAGTCTATTCATTACGCCATATTACAGCTACAGAAAAAAAAAACATTAACGTGACTGCGTTAGAGAGCTCGAGTCGCAGAAATTCCACCATTTGCGTCCGCACCGTTGGTTGTGAGTGAGAAATCGTCCGTGAGTGAAAAACCGAGAAAGAAGAAAGTTTTCGGTCCCATTGAGGATTGAACCCGGGCCGTTCGCATGACAAGCAGGTCTCTTACCAGAAAGCCACGATGTTACTTGCAGCTGCTTCGGTAAAAAAAAAACACTACATAAATGCCATGTGGTGGAAGGAGTCTCCTTAACGCCTTTTTGTCGACAGGTATCGCGACAAAAACTAGCCCATTGGGCAATTTGTAGGCGAATGTGGGAGGCCATCAAACTACGCCGAAAAGACCGAGATCGTGCAGCCATCGCCGCTAAAAACACACAGGAACTTTACACAGCCCAAAAAAAAGACAACGACGTTCATCTTGCGGAAAACATATAAGGCCTTTTCAGAGGCATTGGTAAACCAAGCAGACAACGCTAGATAATGTGGTGCCATGTGTGAGGCATTGTGAGGCCCTTTATAGCCTCTGAGGTGGCGAGCGCGTGGCGTGTGTTTCGGAGGACATGCCGCTTCTGCTTTCGATCAAAAAATGTATGTACCATTCGTGCGTGTGTGTATCTGTTACCATCCGTCAGACATTGTGAAAAAGGTGTCTCGACTATCACACAGCGCCGTTCTAGCAGAGGGAATCGACCACACTGCACAGTCAGTGCAATACTATGATACGTCACGCATGCGCGCGCGCGAGTTTGTGTGTGTGTGTCTGTGTGTGTGTACAAAACACAAGAATCAGAGTGTGCACTCAGCGGCTGAAGGGTGCACTAGGAACCGGATTTTGCTATCGCGTTCAACTCTTAAAGGCTCGCCTATTGTAAAGTAATATTTGTGCTGACTCATTGGCAGATTCTTTACTTTATTATCAAGATTGTCAAAAATGTGAAAAGTTGTGATTTCTCTTAGGATAATAATTTTTCAATTCATTATGTACCTGCGTCTTCATTAGCAGGCAATGCAGCAGAAGGGTATATGCATCATAAATGAACAGATATGCAATATTGTATTCTATAAAACATTGGGTACCTTCCAACATGCGCACTTTGGAAACAAATAAGAAGGCGAGCTTTTTGAATAAACCAATTAATGCCTGAATTTGTACTCTTTTATTTCAATTTCAGATGTCCGGCTCCAAAAAGCTTTACTGGTACAGTGCGTGAGCGAGACCCTTTTTGGCCTTCGTGCTGCATTAATTGGCCAACCTCGCCAGTGGCTTCGCTAGTTGAAGAACGTTCATTAGCCACTGAAGATGAACATCTTCACGTGTCTTCATATCGGTACAGGAGCTGGAACTAAAAGACAGACGAGGGCTATAACTGTCGTTCTGCTAGCGTAGCCAAGTAGAATAGAATACAAGTCCATAAAAACACGTTCTCTGCTTCTCATGCAAGGGGAGATTGGTTTAAAATTAGAAAATCCGTTCGCCAGTTGATAGCAAAGACACCACTTCTGTGAAGTACCAGTGACCCTTTTCAATATACCATATACGAAGACATATAATAACTGACGCAACTCTCATCTGTTTAGATACTTCTGAATTTTGGACAATATAAACAAATGCAAATGTTACCGCTATCATACACAATTTCTGTTTATTCGTAGTTGAAATGCGTGTTGACCCTCCAGCCTCACACATATGTCACCTCTATTGCTGTAGCGAAGACATCATGGTCATCAGGGAAGACAGAAGAACAAAATGTCAGACCTTTCGTAATCTGTGCTCGTCCGGACAATTCACAAAACATGTAAAAAACTGACGATCGCCGAACTAAGACCCAACACTTTTTGTCAAGTTGCAATGGAAAACAACCATCACAAGTATTTTATTACACAATCTTGGCGCTGTTACTTTTACGCAATTATCAAGCTCAATAACATGCAATTTCGTGAAAACCTACAAAATACAAATTCAAAAAAACGTTCTTTTTAATGGTTGTTGTCGTGATATGCAGGGATTGTAAGACATGTGTACGTGGCGCTGCTGAGGCACCATAAGTGAGCAAGATAGGCCACAGAAATCAAGCAGTGTACCGGTCTTACAGGGAATGCAATTAAATTAGGTTTCCAGCATTACAACAAATAAATATAGAGTTGAAAGCGTTAGCAAGTGACGATTCAAATAAAGATGTGGCGGCAGCACCTTGCCCCCTGCGACTTCATCAAACTTTACCATGCAAGTTTTGATTGCAGCAACAAAAACTAGAGACATTTGATAGGAGTTCAACGCAATACAACGTGGCGTAGCCACTATGTCGTATAATTGACAGGCTCAACACGTGCCAACTACTCATTTTGATTCGAAAGTCGTGCCCTGCCGGGAACCTATACCCACCACCTTCAAGAATGGCCAGGCTGTCATCAATTTTGTTCACACAAGAGTCAAGTCTAAAGCTAACTTTTGATGCATAACGTTCCGTTTGACTTTTGTACAAGTTAAGCAAAATATGCTCAGTCGTGAACTCGTGCTAATTAAACTCGGTAGAAGATCAACGTTCCGAAGCCACCAGCTGAGGTTCCCAGGGCAAGCGTTTGAGCCTCAGAACGTTTCAAGCACGAGAGTAGAACAACTTTTCTAACTTCAAGGATGCTCGATGGATACTATTGTGCATACGTTTTTTTAGAACAGGGAGCGAATAATACGACTGCTATTATTCAGATCTTGTGTGCAGCGTATTCCATTAGGAATGACTCAAGACTTTTGATAGATTTTGGAATAGCCAGCATCTCTTATAAGAAAACTTGTCATATACAATTTTTTTAATCACGTGCGTAGCGGCAAGTGTGGTAGCACAGCTGCAAGAGGTCTGTAAAATATATTATGTGATTTACACATGTGGAATATATATAGCGTGTCTTTCATGCATAACAGGAGCAGTTCATGTCACACTCTTTTGTTAAGAGGACAAAATGCATACATTGGCACCACATATTCGGCTCAGGATTTTCATGGCGTCGGCCCGCCGGTATAGGTAGAGTCAATGCGAGGCAAAAGAAAAAGGCTACACTTTCTAAAACGGGTGCCTTGTCACTCTTAAACTTTGAAATCGTTTTTTTCACTGACTTGCGTAACTTTGCAGTTAGCGTTGGCACTTGCTTTCTATTTTCGCCTATGCACTTCAACAGGAATGCATTCGTCATGATTCCGCACCTTCCGGAGAGCTATTTAAAGTCGCTTTCTTGTGATTAGCCCCGAAAAAATACTGGCATCGCTCCGGTCGCGGCGATGTGACATCCCACAAGGACTCGCCTACACTGCCGTCGCTTGTCGCCTTTTCTGCGCCCACCATGTACCCGCTCTTTAGGATGCCGTGGTAGTTACTCATCATTTTTGATGCAAATCTCTCAAGGTAAAAGGTTGTAGGTTTCCAAAATAGTGAATGTTATCTAAGCTGTAGAAAATAGAGATAATTTAGCTTAGCATAGGTGGACACTTCTCAGAATTAAACAGTTTCTGTTGAAATGGCAATGCACGTTCTTTTCATTGAATACAATCAGAAATGAGTGCTAATAAAGTTTTCGAAGTGGTGATAACGTGATTACAACTACACAAACAATGCAGGTTCAGAACTTATGTGTGCCGAAGCATGGCCAATAAAGTTCACATTGTTTCAAATCTCTGAACTGATCGTGGTTTACCCAAGAAGTTACGCTTGGAGCTGGAAATTCTCTAAAATATTTTACAGAATAGCGCTTTCGCCAACAGGACGCTTAACACAAATCTCTCTGGAATAAGCTTTCTCTCAACATATCGAGCGAATAAAAAATAACACTGCCTCACGCACAAATACTTCGGAAATGCTTAGATGTCTGTTCATTCTAACAATATGTACAATTTCTTCTAAACAGTTGCCTGAGATTACCGTATAGCAAGATTTACGTGAAATGGTGGTACGATCTATTGTGCCTTAAGAAACAGTAATGCTCGCTTCATGTGTGAGCACTGCCCATAGCAATGATTTCAAAAGACGCGCCAGAGAGTCGGCGTGGCACGCTACGCAATAAATACCCTTCGCCTGGATGAGCCAACGACTGGTCTCACACATATTCTCTACTCAAAGGCAATCACAAGAAAGGATAATTACATTACTAGGTGGCTACCTAAAGAGCTCATTACGAAGATATGAGAACCATTGCTATGACGCCGCTCGAAAACAGAATTTGAATGCGAAATCGCGAATTTTCGCAGACAGCCTCAATCACACTTTGCCAGCATAGCTTCAGTGAATTTACCAAAATTATTGCGAGAGAAAAGTGAGACTAAAAACGCTGTGAGTGAGTAAGTACACGACAAAAACAAACACAACAGCGGGGGCAGTGATTTATAGATTAAGCGCATTCAAGATGTCTTGCTAGACTCAATTTTTTACGCGAGGGTGGGGTTTCGGAGTTTTGGCATACCATACGAGCGTTTGGTTTCAATATATATATATATATATATATATATATATATATATATTTGTTGGTACTCAGCTTCATACAATCTCAAATTAGAAGGAAAGAAAAGAGGAAAAAGACAAAAAAAGAAAAAGAAGAAGGAAAAAGAAAAAAAATTGGGGCAGAGGCTGGTAGCCTCTGCCCCAATACGCAGTACCCCTCTTTCTACGACGAAATGTTGACAGAGCTCTGAGTAGTTAAAGGCTCAGAACATCCTAAAAAACCTCTTTTTTGCCCCACATCGAACCGCCAGTGCCAGGAGGCGCCGTCTGGTCGGGAAGAATGCGTTAGTGAAAGGAAGCATACACAGACCACTGACATCAGAAAGGTGAAGGGGAGAAAGGGGAGACAGATGAAGTGGAAGTGGAAGGAAGAGTGGAAGGGGGGCGCCCGAGGGGAGTGCACCTTATATTCTTTTCTTTCTCTTCTTTTCTTTTTCCTTCTTCTTTTTTTGTCTTTTTCCTCTTTCCTTTCCCTCTGATTTGAGATTGTATAACGCTGAGCTCCAACAAACTGTTACCTTTAATCCTGATGAAGGCCAGACTCTAGGCCAAAACGTCGAAATAAACCACGTTGTGACCGCTCACGGAGGATATACTGGACTATATATATATATATATATATATATATATATATATATATATATATATATATATATATATATATATATGTATATATATATATATTATATATATATATATTGTTACGGTTGAATTAAAGAATATGTGGATTTATTCACAGGGTTAGGATGAAGTTCGGCAGTCCCGGTAAAGATTGAGTACTCAGGCCGCACCAGACAACGTCGTCTTCCTCTTCTTCCTACCCGGCACATACTACAGCCCGGCTCATACCATAGCAATCCCCGGTTCATAGACGAAGCCCGCTGGGCGAGTTTAAGTCACTGTGGGGGTGAAACTTCTTTAGGCAAGCCACGTGCACCTACTGCATTCGATTTGACCGACGAGAAGGTGTCGTCAAGCGTGCCACAACGTACGTCAAATCAGTCAAGCGATCTACAATGATGTAGGGGCCTGTGTATGGGGTAAAAACTTATGCCATAAACCAGGTTTTCGTTGGGGGGTCCACAACCACATGAATTCACCTTTGCGGAATGAAATGGCATCATGGCGTTGATCGTACCGTTGCTTGGAGCGATCTTGTGATGCCAGTGTGCGCAAGCGAGCAATTTGGCGGGCTTCTTCAGCCCGGCACAATGTTTCGGCCACGGACTCATCGATATGGAGCTTAAATGGGAGGATTGTATCAAGGGAGCTTCGTGATGATCGAGCGTAGAGCAGGTAGAAGGGCGTGAAGTCCGTGGTCTCGTGCTTCGCTGTATTGTATGCATAAGTAATAAATGGTAAGATGTCATCCCAGTTTTTGTGATTGGATGCGACGTGCATAGCGAGCATGTTATTAAGAGCTCGATTGGTGCGTAATACAAGACCATTCGTCTGGGCTTGCTATGGTGTCGAATGTCTGAACTGTGAAGTGCAGAGGCGAAGCAATTCTTCCACAGCGTCCGCGATGAATTCGCGACCACGGTCACTGATGATTACTTGAGGTCGACCATGGCGAAGTACAACCGAGCGTAACAAAAAGGTAGTGACGCCATCAGCTGTGAAAGATGGTATCACAGAGGTTCCGGCGTATCCCGTAAGGTGTTCTACGCACACTATTATCCAGTGGTTGTTGTTTGAAGATCGCGGAAACTGGCCAAATAGGTCGATTCCCACTTGCTCGAAAGGCGTAGTAGGTGGTTGTACGGGGTAAAGGAGGCCGTGTGGTGCACTCGTAGGTCGTTTGTGACGCTGGCAGCTCTCGCAGCTCGAGACGTATTGTTTCGTAAAATCTCGCAGTCGAGGCCAGTAAAAACGCCTCTGCACTCGATGCAGGGTGCGAATGAATCCAAGGTGTCCTGACGTTCGACCATCGTGCATAGTACGGAGAACGTCGCATCGAAGACTTTGAGGTACAACCAGTAAATAACTTGCGCCGGTTGCTGAGTAATTCAGTTTGCACAACAGTTCATCACGAACGTGAAAGCCACCACTGCCTTTGAGATTCCGAGCGTCAACGAACAAAGGTTCTAAAGATAAATCATTCCATTGTTCTCGTTTGAAGATATTGGCGTCAGGAAACGTGT